TACAATCATAACAAGAATGTAGCACCCCCGGCGAAAGGGATGTCAGTACATTTGAATTGTACTGGTATGTATGAACAAACTTTACCCCAAGTAGAATCAATCAATGCACAGACAACAAACAGTAATAGAATCAACAATCAAATGCACATGAAAGGAACAACCAAAGCCAACAAGTTTCACAATCTCTCCTTTTTCCCTTTCAACGTCATTTCATACTCAAGAGTTTCATACATTTTCATTTCAATAGTGAATATGATCACTTTCCACCCTTATTACCTCGGCCACCCTTATCACCACAACCCACACCTTATAACTTCGTGTTGCGGCGCACAACCCGATCCCACCGGACATTCACATTTAACACAACAACAATAGTTCACAGTTCATTCACATGGCTTCAGGCCATCCTGAATATCATTTCACTGCAACAGTAACAATTTAAGTCATAACGATAATTGCCCACGACAAGCCACACATGATGTTACCACAGTTGTTTCAATTGCATCAATCACGACTTCTTTCCATCATTTATTTCACGGCCCTTACCACATAAACACATTCACACACAAACTTGGTTTGTTGCAACTAAATTCACACCGTCATATCGGAACGTTAACCAACAATGTTCAAGGCAATTTAGTCACAAGAATTCATGAAATAGGCCATCTTGCCCTAACACCCGTGAAGCAAACAAAATTCACAAATAGTCCACATAAGAAATGCATACCAATTACTCGTACACCAAACAGGGTGACTTTACAAAGGTCAAAGTTAGCCATACATACCTCAATTTCGCCCCTTAATGATACTAAAACGATCCAATACACTTAAGCAACTTCAATCTACAATACAACATTCAATGGGGCCAATATTAGTAACAAATTCCATAACTTATGCCATATAGGCATATTATCAAACACCTTTTAAGTATAAATCTTTTCATCTCATAGCCATAGTATTAGTTCATCCATCTATCACCATTAACTAACAATTTATTCCACCATCATTCCTAACCAATTTATAATCTTCCAACAACATATGTATGATCACCCATTCATACCCAACCAACAATTTATATCAAATAATCACCCTTTCAATCTCTACAATAATTATGCATTTATATTGGGAACTTATGGCTTCCCATCACTACACCAAGAGTTCCAACACTTAATTCATACTCATATTCCCATAATATATCCATACCCAGCCATCAGCTAGCGTGCCCCATCAGTTTGGCGGTAAGAGATTTGATCGTTCCACATATTCAGGGTCTGGTCAGAACTTTAGGGCCTCAGGTTCTCAGTATAGGGGTGAGTCAAATCAGATGAGGTCGCCCTTGCCACGATGTGCTCAATGTGGTAAGAAGCATACCGCGCAGTGTCGTATGGGATTAGCTATTTGTTATACTTGTGGTTATCTGGGCCATGTTATGAGGGATTGTCCGATGAGAGGTGATGCAAGCATAGCTTAGCCAGCGGGATATATAGTTGGTTCGTTATCATCAGTACGCCCCCTAGGCAAGGTCCACAAGCACCAATGAGTCGTGGTAGAGGCAGAGGAGGAGCATCTAGCTCGAGCGACCCTCAGAACCGCATTTATGCGTTGGCAGGACGATAGGACCAGGAGTCATCACCTGATGTTATTAGAGGTATATTATCAGTCTCCTCATATGATGTGTATGCACTGATTGACCCAGGTTCCACCTATCATACATTACTCCGTTGGTTGCTAGTAAGTTTGAAATAAAACCTGAATTGGTTAAACCTTTTGAGGTGTCTGCACCTGTTGGGGACTCAGTGATAGCTAAGCAAGTATATAGCGATTGCATAATAGTAGTTCATGGTCGATCTACCGTAGCAGACTTACTCAAGTTAGATATGGTAAAATTTGATGTTATAATGGGTATGGATTGGTTGGCTTCATGTCATACCAACGTTGATTGTAGAAGTTAGAAACTAAGCGTCCACCATACTGTATAGAGAACCGGGTTCTCTATGAGTTTCCACTGAAAACACTAATGAAACTGTATAGCGATCTGGTCCTATATCAGTTCCCACAGTGCTAACTACTGAACCCGTATGTAAATGAGACACAGGATTAGTTCCCACTGTATAGAGAACCAGATTCTCTATAAGTTCCCATTATAAGCAACAGACTGTAAAACCAACCAGTATAGGGAATTAGGTTCTCTAATTGTTCTCGCAGTATCTCGGCAGTAAGTAAAGAACACAGAGGATTTTTACGTGGAAAACTCCCAACTCAAGGGGACAAAAACCACGACCTACACTTGTAGGCTTTCAACTTCACTAACTTGTAAACCCCTATTACGAGCCACTTTGTAATGACTCTATTATAAAGGATTCAACTCAACTAACTTGTGGTACTCTCACCACAAGCCACTTTGTGACTCTCTAGTTACAAAGACTTTGACTAAACCTAGTCACAACATAAACTGGAGAGTTTACGGATTTTGGATTTCCTAAAAATAGCTTCTAAAAAGCAAAATAGGAGTTACAATGAAGAACAAATAACAAAGACTCAACAAACCTAAGGACATAAGATATCTTCAATCTTGGATCCGGTCCTTGAGGCTGAAGCAGCTTTGTTCCTGAGAGAGGTTGTTCTTGCACTTGAGAGGATATTTTCGTTTCTGATTTTGCAAGTCTAGAACCTGAATCTTGTGCCTTGCATAAGGTTTATACTACAAAAGACATCACCTTAGTGATGTCAAATCTTGGTTAGTACATGCCTCTTCTCAATAGGAAGTGACTGTTGCACTGTCTACTGCAGTTGCTTTCCGGCTGTACCGTTAACCTATACTTCTGTCAGGGGAACACCAAGGGATTAGATCCCTAATCTGGTTCCTGTGAATCTAAAGAACACTGCCTAGATTATCTTGAGTCGATTAACTTGAATGATTGTACCAGGCATGCCTCAGGTCCTTTATCTGGTTCTCTCATGAAGTAAGTTGTTTTACCTTCCTTGATGGTATTTATACGTGTGTGACATCACTTACAATGATATAAGCAAGGTAGGTAAAAGTCCTTCCATAGAAAGTTGACTGTTGCATTGTTCCTGTGCAGTAGCGTGCACAGGTAGTAATTTTCCTGCCAGAGAGTTGACTTCATACAGTCTCCTCGGGAACTGGTAGGGACCTGTTTCCTCAGCTAATCCTTCCACTCTGAAGAGTTGAGTTATATCCCACGCTGGATACCAATCTGGAACATTATGATCTTAAGGTCTTGTAGATGTGTAACAGGTTCTTTTTCTGGTTCTGGATGGTAAGTTTGTTAGATCCGCAAAACATAAAGTAAAGTACTTATGCCCAAGGTACTTGTATCCTATCAATTTCCCCCTTTTTTATGGCGACAAACTTAGAATTGATATTCCCCCTGAGAACCAGATCTCCACATTATTCCCCCTACGAATCAGTCATATTCCCCATGAGAACTGAACCTAAGGAGATGATCACAACTGGTTCCTCAAGACTATTTGGTAAATCATCAAAACTCAAAGTACCATATCTTATCAATTTCCCCCTTTTTGATGAATGACAAACCTAGAATTATTCTCCCTGAGAATCAGGTTCCTTGTCTGCACTGATCACATCTGGTCTACCCAATATGCTGAGAACGTTTGTCATCATCAAAACATGACATAGTGTAACTTAGAGCAATTTCCCTATTTTAGATGATGACAACCCCAAAATTAATATTCCTCTTGAGAACCAGATTCCTCACATGTTTCCCTGCGGATCAGACCTAGAATCAACATATTGTCAGCAACGTTCCCCCTGTGAAGCAGAGCCATCTTTCATGCACAACACAACATATCAATTCGATTCTATTCCTCCCCCATGTTGACACCTATATAACTTTCCCCTTTTGGCATCATCGAAAAGAATAATAGAAGAAGCACAACCAAAAAGAAGTTCAGCAACATTAACTCGGGCCACTTGGGCAACACATCATAAACAATAATAAGAACAACAAGCGAATGTCAGTGCACAAATAGAGTGATTGCCCATAGTGGAATTATAATAAAAGCACAGTAGTTTCAACAATCCATAATATGAAAATTTAAACAACTAAGTAACAATGTCATCAAATATAGGGATCAAAAGAAGATAAGAATTCAAGGGAATTCAGAAGGAGTGAAAGACATGGATCACTGGGCAGGAGGAAAAGTAAGGGCTAAGGCCTTGATGAGCTTGTCCATTCGTTCGTTTACTCTCCTTTGATCAATGATCATCTGCTCTCTCAATTCCTCCACCTGTTTCTTCAATCTTTCATTCTCACCCTTCAACTTAGCATTCTATTCTGCCAAGGGTCCTCGAGGACCAGGTTCTCAACCTATCTGAGTAGGTTGCGCCATCAATCAGATCACCAAGAATCTCCCTAAGCTTCGTCTCATCAAGAACAGATTCAGTCCCATGCACATATAGCATCATAGTATCACATAAGACATAAAAAAAAATTCTTCTTCTTCAGAAACATTGGGACTTGGAGGAACAAAGAGGTGATTCTATTTTTGGAACTCAACAATGTCAAGAGGTTCCTCTATTTTTCAGCAATATCAGAGCCAACACTCTACCTTACAGCACCTTTTGATACTTCAACATCTTCTCCCTCCAAACCTAATGGATCAACCTTTTGCTTTTCTAAGGAACCAGGTTCCTCACTTACACTACCATTTCTATCCCTGAGCAGCCATGTCTCCGTCTTCTTCTTCTCAATCTGTTTACCCTTATCATGTGTTGCATCTTTCTCAGCCAGCTTTCTTTTCTCCATTATTTTTAATTCTTTCTCACAAATGGAGATTTTTTCCACTTCATTCTCTCTTCCATAGTCACCACATCAGCAGGTCATACCACTTCATCATCAATAATCCTACATATCTCAATCCTCTTTACTGGATCGGAAGAACATAGAACTCAAAGAGAAAAAGATCATCATTATAATTGACTTCATGAGAAGGACTTGAGGGATCAGGTTCCTCATTCAGTCCTCACATTTACCAATTTCTCCATCCTTCAAGACTTCCACAAATCTAACCACAACTTCAGCCTCACGCTCTAGAATATTAGATCTACCATGTTCCCTTTTAGTTAAACTTCCATCAAAATCTACCAAAGACTTCTTGGGGTTTTTGATTCTAATGGAGTTAGGTTTTTGGAAAGTGAGAGAGTTGGGTTCACTTCTGGCATATTTTGAAAGAAGGATTATTTTGAGACAAGGGTGATTTTGGTTTTGAAGAAAAGAATAGGTTTTATATGGGTGTAAGATAGAGAAGTGCCTTTTTTGGGCAACGGGTCAGTTTAGAAAAGGTTTAACATTTTGGACTTCAAAAGTTAGGAGGAGAGGCAGGAGAAAGGAAGAAACAAATTGATGACATGACACTTCAGCAACTTAAAAAGGCATATAATTATTCAAGAGACTACTAACCTGAGTCACAGGAACTAGGTTCCGTGATGGTTTTTGAAACTTTTGAGCAAAGACTCCTAGAAGTGCAAAGTCACTCTTACTTGTTTTTGTCCTGAAACTACCATATGTGTATACCTGTAATAGTATAGATTTGAGTTAGATGTCGCTGAAACACTTTTTAGCATTGTACCTTTCCTTCTTAACATAGCCAATCATCAAGGGACCGGGTCCTCAGTTGAGCTTGATCAACCCCAACTCCAGACAACTTCTTTCAAAATGTTCCCTGCTCAGCGCCTTGGTGAAGATGTCTTCTACCTGATCCTTCGTCTTCCAGAACTTCAAACAAATAAGAACCTTTTCAGCATTGTCCCTGAGAAAATGGTGTCTGACATTAATGTGCTTTGTCCTCTTGTGTTGTACCGGATTCAAGCTGTAAATACACTAAAGTCTTCAAGATGTTGCTTGATCTATACTAGTTGAGCACAACAAGAAACAACAGCCACGTATTCAGTTTCAGTAGTAGGAAGAGCCATACAGTTTGTCTCTTTCTATCCCATTAGATCAAGCATGACCTCAGAAAATGTGTCAGTCCAGATGTGTTGTTTCTATCCACCAGATATTCAACATAATCAGCATCAACATATCCAACCAAGTCCAGGTTATCAACCGAGGGATAGTAGAGAACCAGGTCCTGCATCCCTTTGAGATATCTTAGGATTCTCTTGGCAGCTTTCAGATGATATTCCATTGGATTGGATTGAAACCCAACACACAGACCCACACTAAAAACAATATCTGGTCTGCTACAGAAGTGACCCTATGATACCTCTATGCATGGTCTGATTTATAGGGGAACCAGGTTCATCCAGTCTAGACAAGTAGTTGTGGCGATGGGAGTGTCAATGATTTTGATGTCTCCATGTCAAACCTCTTCAGCAGCTTCTTGCTTCACTTGTACATCTAAGAAGAAATTCAGTTCCCCCATCGTACTCATTTCTAACTCACTTCCCATGAGTTATGCACATTCTTCACATTGGGAGTCAACTGTTGCTCCAAAGATGATTCCAGCAACATAGATCTGCACAATGAGTAGGTTCCTTCCTGATTTCTTCATAAAAAGAGTATTGTCAATTTTTCCTCTTGTAAAGCCATTTTCTAAAGGGAATTTTGACAACCTTTCACACTAAGCACGGGGAGCCTGGCTTCCATAACAGTTCTGTTAGCAGGTCGTGGAACCAGGTTCCACATACTGTTCCTCCCAAGTTGATGGAGCTCTTCTTGCATAGTTGTAATCCAGTCAGCATCTTTCAATGCTTCCTTGATATTCTTAGGCTCTATTTGAGAGAGAAAGGCTGAGAAGGCAAGTGAGTTTCTTGTCTTTGATCTGGTTTGAATTTCTCAGCAGCTGGAGTTCCCTGTACAGCATCCACAACTCTGTTTTCTGCTTCAGATATTATGATTAAGGGACCAGGTTCCTCTATGTAGGCTGGAGTCTCATCTTCAGTTCTGAGGAACATGGTCCATGTAAATCTGGAGTCATCATCCATATTGGCGAGAATATGCACCTATTTCCTCCTCTACTTGGCATCCTCATAGGTCCACATAGATCCATATGGAGGAGATCAAGTGGCCTTGAGATACTAACTTCCTTCTTGGGCTTGAAAGAGGATCGGACTTGCATTTCTTTTACACATGAATCACACACCCTGTGATCCTTGAAGCTTGATTTAAGCAGACCATAAACCAGGTCCTTCTTGACTAATTTGTTCAGCAGCGTGAAACTTGCATAACCGATCCTTCTGTGCCATAGCTCAGCATTATCATTAACAGCACTCAGACAGCCAAGATCCCCTTGTCACAGATTTGGGAAATACCGAGCAGAATCTCTTAGAGGACCAGGTACTCTACTGTTCAATGGACTCATATTGTTCCGATCCTTCCAACTCCCAGAATGTATCCCTTCTTGCCATTTTAAAAGGATACACTCCCTCCTTGCAGGGCCTTCAGTGAAAGGAAATCATTTGTTCTTCCAGTTATGAGCTTCGAGCAATCGTTATTCATGTGACACTGTTAACTGCTCCCTTTCACTGTTCCCTGCACACTTAAGTCAATGATTAGACTTAGGAACCCAAGCCAGCTTGGGTCCCTTATAATGATAGAACAGGCAGATCAAACTTCTTTTTGCCCATGCAGGCAGCACATATTTTCTTTTCAGGGAACCAGGTTCCTCATCAGTACGCCTTTTTTCAACAGAGACTTTGTTTTTCTACAAAGACTGATTTTTAACTTTACAAGAGTCCTTGTAATGACCAGTTAGACTACAGTGAGTGCCCAACCTATTATCGGCCACAGTTGCATACTTCCTATGGGGATTATAGGAGGTTTTAGCCTTTTGGAACTAGATGCCTTGCCTATTTCCATCATTACTCCTATACATAGACGTTATTACATCATAGGAGCGGGTCCATTTAAGTGACTTATCAAGATCATTTTAAACCCTTTTTAAATCCTCCTGAAGTTGTCTATTCTTTTTAAGCTCAAAAACATGGGTTGTTTTACCTTTCTTAAGCTCACTCTCAAGCTCAAGTTGAGCCTTTCTAGCCACTTCCTATCCCTCAGTGTTGTTCATCCATTTTTTGTTTATTTTTTCAACAAGTTGTGTTCTCTAGTTATTTCTTCCACTTGTTTCCTTAAATCTACAATGGGAACTACCATATGATCCCTTTCTTGTTCAGTAGCTGCAATTTTCGCTACTAGAGTATTCTTTTCTTTGCTAAGGGTCTCTATGGTTTCCTTCAAGTCATCTGCCACTAACATCAAATCATCTCTAGATTGTTCAGCATCTCCTAGCTCTATGATTAGGGCATCTTTATCATTAACAAAACTATAATATGTATCAATTAGAACATTTGCTAATGACAACAACTTTTTCGAAGAGTAGGACTTCAGATTTCTCTGAACATCCCTGAAAGTTACCTCATCATTGTCATCCTCTTCATCCTCATCGGACTGAGCCGTCAATGCAAACAATAAATCATATTCCTTTGCTTTATTTTCCACTGCCATCATGGAGTTGCTTCCTGCATCTGGTTCCTCTTCTGATTCACTGGAGGAGTCTCCCCATGCAGCAAGATCTTGCTTCACCGTATTTTCAGCAGCATCTCTTCTGTTGAATTTCCTATCAGGGACCGGGTTCCTCTTAGCTGCTTTAATAGTGTTGTTTTTGTAATTCTCTTGTTTCAGAAGAGGGCAGTCTTTAATAAAGTGTCCAGGCTTTCCACACTTATGACAGTAATAACTTCCTTTGAAATTCATGCTGGAACTTCCTTTCTTTGGGATCCCATCATTTTTACGAACCATCTTCTAAAATCGTTGTGGTCTATTGGTTGACTGACTTTTCTCAAAGTTTGGTGGAGCAGACATGTAGATCCTTTCTAGGTGTTAACCTTTTAGAAAGAACCTGCTCTGATACCAATTTTTAGAAACTAAGCGTCCACCAGACTGTATAGAGAACCGGGTTCTCTATGAGTTTCCACTGAAAACACTAATGAACCAAACTGTATAGCAATCTGGTCCTATATCAGTTCCCACACTACTAACTACTGAACCCGTATGTAAATGAGACACAGGATTAGTTCCCACTGTATAGAGAACCAGATTCTCTATAAGTTCCCAATGTAAGCAACAGACTGCAAAACCAACCAGTATAGGGAATCAGGTTCTCTAATTTTTCTCGCAGTAGCTCGACAGTAACACAAAGGATTTTTACGTGGAAAAATCCCAACTCAAGGGGAAAAAAACCACGACCTACACTTGTAGGCTTTCAACTTCACTAACTTGTAAACCTCTATTACAAGCCATTTTGTAATGACTATATTACAAAGGATTCAACTTAACTAACTTGTGGTACTCTCACCACAAGCCACTTTGTGACTCTCTAGTTA